AATATTAATATGAATATATCGTATATCAAAATATTAATATGAATATATCGTATATCAAAATATTAATATGAATATATTGTATATCAAAATATTAATATGAATATATTGTATATTCTACAGTATTTAACTTATATTCAAGTATACTCAACAATTCAAAAATATGATATATATTATCGTTATTGTTATATTTAAATTTTTATTTAATCATATTAATAATATATATAATAATAGTATATATAAAAAAAAAAAAAATCTACGTATATCCGATATACATCCGATATACATTACATTATATCTTATTTTCCTTGTTATAAGTGGCAACATCCATTGTCATTATGCTTTTGGTCGATTCACGAGGACATCCTTTATGCAATTATAGTATTACAATCCCCTTTAACTCTGTTTAATTTATTAATGAATGAATTAATTACGACAAGGATTTAATTAATTTTATTGTTACGCTCTTCAATAGTTAAAATCTGTAGATCGGGGGTTGATTGATTTCCCATCATAACATATTTGACCTTTGCCTGCTATTTATATTCGGCCGTTAATCACGTTTTGTTACTCAAAAGCATTTTATTTATAGAATACATTACCTGTATTATTTATCTTTATTTATTTACTATTTATGATTACAAAATGCACAAATGCACGACAAGGTGTCACATCCAAAAATAACTTAAAGGCACATGTAGAATTATACTAGATATACTGATGATCATAATCTAATTATAAATAAGATACTCAAATCGGCGATTAAATATCTGTGTCACAAGTTATTGAAAACTATATAATAGGCACGCACATTCCCTTTTTTCCCAACATCAAGAATCGATATTTTAAAACTTAATAACTTTGATATCTTTACGGAATAATTTAAAAATTTAAAAGTTTTGCATATTTATTAGCGGAGGTACATTACATTAATAGTTTCTGACTATTATTAGAATAACCAACCGCACATTCAAGTAAAACCCGATTTCATATATTTCAAAAAAAAAAAAAATTCTTTTCATTTCTATTTTTAGTATAAAATTAACTTTATCAAGCAATTTATTCATCCCGAATCAACTTTAAATTACTAAAAAACTGTTCGGGTTTGTTTGTATTACAAATCCCGTATTAAAAAAAATCCGAATTTATATAATCCATTATATATATCACCTTTCAAAAAAGATACCTCCAAAAAAAAAAAAAACAAAGAATCAATCACGATCAAATCATTGATCATTATATTATACAGTAGTTATATATATATATATATATATACATAAAAATACAAAAAACCATAAAATCACCGCAAAATCACTAAACTTTTAAAAAAATCATCCTTTATTGAAATGAACACCAACGCTCTTCAAGCTTATCATCCCACTTCTGATTCCGAATATAATATCTTTTTAAATAAAAATTTTATTTCATCGGACGATAGCTTCAATCAATATTTTTCAACTGAAATCGCATTTCAAGCTGACCAACCTATTGACATAAATTGTTATTATCCTTGCCAACAATTTCCTCCTTACGGTTCTCCTGATAGTTTTTCTGAATACGAACCTAGTTCTGACGGTTATTCGTCGTGTCCTTCGGTTATTTCTTCTCCAAATTTAACCACTGACACAATGTTTTATCCTCAAGACAATACTGATTCTTTTGATTACTCTGCAGAAAGTCTATACCAAGATATGACTCTTGATACTTTTCAATATCCAGATCTTGGCTTGATGACTTGTTCTGATCCTTCCGTTGGCGATTTAAAATTGGATATCTCGTGTGTTGGTCAACCTAACGATTCCACAGATTTATTAAATACTTTCGGTCAACCGGTTATGTTTAATTTTGTTCCTGCTACTCCTCTTTCTCCATCAAAATCTTCGGCTATTCTTCCTTATAATTCAAATATGAATTCTCATCCAAATAATGAAATTCAATCTTCAATGCCAATCGCTAATACTCCTCAAATTGGTGATGCAGAACATCAAAACAAACAAAAATCTCTTCCAAAAAAAACTGATTCTGGTTCATCACGTACTAAGGTAACACATAGAAGCCACAGAAGGTCACTTCCTATTGGTATGGTCGAAAGATTACACACTATGAATTTGGCGCCACCAAAACCATCTCGTAAATCAAAAACTTGTTCCCCATTTTCATGTCCTTATGAGAATTGTACAAAAACTTTTACCAGGCAATACAACCTTAAATCTCACCTTCGAACTCATACTGATGAAAGACCTTTTCTTTGTGGATATCAAGGTTGTATGCGCGCTTTTGCACGACAACATGATAGAAAGAGACATTATAATTTACATTTGGGTTTCAAGCCTCACGTTTGCAACCATTGTGGCCGTGCTTTCGCTAGATTAGACGCTTTAAACAGACATCTTAGATCTGATAGTGGTGCTCCTTGCGCTCAAGCCACTCTTCCAAATACCGGTGCAAAAAAATTTAAACCAATTAGCATGTAAAATACATGTGTGATAGATTTATTGTAATTAGACAAAAATGGACATTTGTACATAAAGGAAAAAAAAAAAAAAAACAATACAAAAAAAAAATTTTGGGTGGATCGATTTTTTTTTTTTCTTTCATCACTGGTTCGAAATGACAATGAAACGGATACAAATCAACTACGAATATATCTATCTCTTCACTTTTTTTTTTTATTTTCGTATTTTTTTTCTATTTTTCGTTTTTAAAACAAAAAAAAAAAAATTGGCTTTTCTGAATATGCAAACTTTATTATTAAATAAGCACTTAAACAATTTTACGAATTATTGATTCCTCTCAAAAAAAAAAAAGCGTTTTTTTTCGAATGGTACATTATTTCATGAACTCTCCCCCTTATTAAAACATAGAACCATTATAGAATCATTACTCAAAACACACACAAAAAACATAAAGCATTTTTTTTTAAAAAAAAAGCATTTTCACACAAAAAGCATATGTAAGCATTTCAATCCGCATCTTTACACCTAAATTCATAAATTCAATTTCATGCATCATAAAAATTAAGGTTTTTTTTTTATCTTCTACGATTTTCATTACAATTACTACTTCAATAAAAATAAGATTTTTCCGAAATATAAAAACAATTGGTTCACTTGTTTTTTTTTGTTTTTTTTCTAATGGAAAAATATAAATAGTAATTAAACTTATGATTGGTTCCTACCATTATTTATGTATGCAGTAGTACAACCCCAGAAGTATTCCCAACTCTATAAATAAATCAGAAATTAACTTCCCTATTAACAAAAAGTGATGATGTAGATGATCGAACTTCATGCGTGGCTAAATATTATCCTTTGTTCTTTTTGTTTGTGTTACAATTTTCTCGCATGGCTAAATATTATTCCCTTTTTTTTACTATTTTTTTTTTTTTTTCTTACGTGGCTAAATATTTTATTAACGTTAAGTAAATATTATGGTTATTATTCTTTTTTGTGATACAAATACACGTAAAAATGAACCAGTACGATCTTAATATGAAATATTCCTTTTTATAGATAATATGTAAAGTTTTATTTGTTTTACGTAAAGTACAGAAGTATAATGAAAATGTTAACAATAACAATAATAATGTATATACTATGATTTTAAAAAAAAATATATTGTTTTGTCGTATGTGTATTTTATGATATCATACTTTCTAACTTAGCCAATTAAATTGCAGAATTCGAAGGTTTATGAAAAATATTTTTTATAAATAAATACTTATATATTACTATGTATATAAATATTGTGTTATTTCCCGTTTTTAATAATGATTGTTTTTTATGGGGATTTAGGGATATTAAATTACGAGTCCAGTCCGAATCGGTCCTAGGTCCTTCTAGGATTGTCCTGGACTCTCCGTTATATGTATGGCTTTTTTATTATTAATCCGTTATAACCATTTATATATTAAAAACTCGGTTCTTTGCAATTTGTTTGTTATATCGGTAGATCCTGAATTGGATCCTCCATCTAATCAATTTAAATCTATATTGTATTAGGATCTATATAAATCTTATATATAAATGTATTATGTTTTCATGTGATTTGTGTGTTATTTTTGCATTATTTTTTAAACTCAGGAAAATAGCTTTTGGCCGTCAATAAATAAAACGGGAGAATAAAACCTTATTTCACCGCTACGGGGAAATAACACACCTGATAGATCTTCGGCCTGCTAGGGGCCCTTTGTGCCCCCAGATGACCAAGGATTTACCTCTTATTCCCACCGTTGTGTGAAATAAATAGTTAAGTAGGGATAAAACCGAAAAAAAAAACTTCATTTTTGAATCGATGTACCGTAAACTGCCATATACAAGACCCCTTATTATTAGACCCAGGTTTTATAACGTAGGATAAAGTTTTGGTAAAGTGTAAGATACCCGGGTATACAAATAGGAATAAAATGTTAAAAGACCCGGGTATAATACTTGAGCATCTATTATGTGATAAATTCCTTTGTCTTAATACTAATACATTATTTAATTCATAGTTAATAAACTGTTCGGTCTGATCTTAACCTACGTGTAGTTATGGAAAGCAGAATTATAATGCATTATTTAACTCAACACATTAAATATAAAGCGATTCTTATATATGTGATACATTATATAACTTCATAATTGTTTATTTTGATAGTTAATAAATGTTTGATATTTATCCTTTTTAAATACCAAAGCCATTTTGATAGCGATATCCAACATTATATATAGTATCATCTAATTCAGCGAATGTTAATAATATATATATATTTCGTTTATCATTTTTGAAACCTGAGAAAATACGTTTAAGTATGGATAGGTACAGTACATGATTTCTAATGTCCTTAAATAAACTGATTCAATTTCCAACGATCTATTTAAATTCACAAGTAAATTATACAATTATATCATGTGGTTTGAATACAACATTGTGCAACAAATTGCCTCACGATTACATTGTTTCTAACAATTCATTTAAAACTGAACTATTCTTTATATTTGTTCATGTGATATATTATATTTGTGTTAGCTGTACTGACTATATTTCTATGATTTGGATAAGCGGGAGAGAGTTTTTTTCTTAATCCCACATATAAACATAATCGGCTATTTCATCATCATAATATGAATCCTTTCTTCGTCTAAATTATTTACAAATTATATAATTGGTTTTCATATCCCGGCCGGGTCAGTAAAGTGGGGTTTGAAAAAAATTTTTTATGAGGAATTTCTTAGAAACGATTAGCCCTTTCCTCCTTTGATCTTTACGGGCGAATCAAAAGGGAGGCAAAGGCTGTGTAAAGATGGTTTAAGGATTAATATATAACTAACCAATAAAGATTCTCCATACAATATGACCAAGCAAAAAAAATATCCGGATCGGGCCAAGATTTTCTGAGGTGATATTTTTATAAATATCATATGAACTACAATGTCAACATATTTAAGTTTTTGCTTGAATGCATGTCCAGTATGTATGCTTAGCATGAAAATTTACAGTTCTTGTAAATAGGGATGGTAAAAAAACGTTTTAAACAGTTTTTTATACATTTTTTATTGTTTTAAAAAATGTTTTAAAACATCGATAGCTGGTTTGAAATTTGGCTGGAATTTAAACTACCGCCTTTGATCGGTTAATTCAGTT